GCTGGTGTGTGGAACTGCTGGGGGGTGGGGGGAGACTCGGGGGCTCTTCAGCCCCCCCCGGGTCCCCTCGTGTCGTGTTGCCTCGGGTGACAGCGGTTAGAGCTGCTCTGGGTGCCCGGTGCCACCTTCCTGGGGGTTGCTGAGGTTAAAGGGCTCTGAGAGGGGGGGGAAAAACCAGCTGTTGATGTGTGTTCGTTCAGTGTGAATGGAACAGAACGTGCCAGGTATGGAAGTGCAGGATTTGCAGCCATAAATTGAGAGCTGAACTTTTCCTCTGGTGCTGCCCTCGGGCTGTGAGTGGTGCTGTGGAACTGGAGCCTCGTTTCTAATGAGAGCTTTAATCTGTTTGTTTTTTAGCTAAAAGAAGAGAATGCCAGTTTGAGAAGCAAGATCTATAAGCTTCAGATTTTCTCTGAAACTCAAGCAGACAAGTAAGCCCCAGGGTGGGGGAAAGTAACCACAGAAGCCAGGAGTTCTCTTAGAAGAGGTGCCTGTCGGAAACAGCCAAGGTCTTTAAAGAAGAGAAGTGTAGTTGAAATCTGTGCTGTTTGCTAAAAAACTTTAACAAACATGGTTTTCTTATTGAAAAAAGGCTTGGAAAGTAAGTGACATGAGTGTGTGTGTGGCTTGTGCTTCATGTGGTTAAAGTGGTTAGTGAGAATGAGGGCAGGGCTTGACAAGATGCATTTCAAGCTCCAGATTAACAAAATAACAAATCAAATCTTAATCTCTCTCCTTTGAAGCAAGTAAAGCTTTTTTTTATTTTTTTGCTGGTGAGCAAAGTGATACTGGGAGACTGGGATTTCCTGAGGTTAAATACAACCCCATGGTCGACCTAGGGTGGCAGGTTTTCCCATTCCCATCTGAACCCTGTGTGCTCTGCTGCTCCTCCCAGGGAGGTGCTGGTGCTTCCATGGTGAGAGGGTGTAACCGTTTGTTTCAGAACTACCCTTATCCTGGGTGGCTGTGTTTTCTGTGCCACCTTTCTGCATTCAGCTCCCCTTAATGCTAATAGACTTTGAGCAAAGAAATCCTCTGAGCCACAGCCTAGAAGTGTAATTCTGTGGGAAGGCTTTGTTTATTATTTGTTTTTTAAGAACATGAAAGAATGAGTTTCTTAATCTTTCTGTAGAATTTTCTTACTGAGGTATTTAATGTTACAAGTGCTTACTGAGCACTGTCTCCTCGTTTTGAAGGATGAGGAAGCTTGAAAGAAAGCTTGAGGAAAAGCAAATCAAGGAAGAAAAAGAGGCACAGGATTTGGAAGCCATGGTGCAGAACGTGGAACAGAATCTCCAGCTGATGACTGTGAGTGGTGGCATTTGCCAAGCAGCAGCTTGTTCACCCTGGAGCTGGGTAGTTCTGTGCCTTTTCTTTCCTCAGCCAGGAGGGTGAGGGCAGCTGAAGTGGTCACTTCACCTGTGTCAGCACAGAGCAGCTCTGACATGGGTCTGGATTCTGCCCTTGTAGCAAGTGTCCCAGTCTAGACTTCCTTTCATGACCCAGAGAAAGGGAGGTCTTTGCAGAAATACCACTCTCAGGTTCATCAACAACTTCAGTTGCTTTTTTGCAGCCTTGAAACCTTTTTGCAGGTGTGAAAACACCTCCTGTTTTTCCTGCTTGCCTGTTTGCACTGAGCACCCTTTCCTCTTGTCCAAGGACAAAATCCAGCAGCTGGAGGTGGTGGGTGGCACTGGAAGATGTCAGAAGGGGAAGGCAGGGCTGGGAGGAGGAAGCTGGGGGGACTGTCCCAGTATGTAAAGCATTCAGAACATGAGGAGGTGCAACACAATCCTTGTGCTGGAATCCTGCATTCCTACCTAGCTGACACTTCCCTCTGTGTCCCCAACCCCTGCCATGGTACAAATGATCTTCCTTCTGTTCCAGAAACGGGCTGTCAGAGCAGAAAGCAGTGCCAGCAAACTGAAGCAGGAGAATGCTCTGCTGCAGGTAGGGAGGGTGCCCTGCAGCCCTGCTGGCTGGGCTGGGGCTGAGCACACACCCTGGCACTGCACTTCTCCTGGGGAATGCCACAGGTGATCTAAACAAGATCCATTCCAGCTCTACACAGGCTGACACCTCTGGGGTGTCTGGTGCTTCACTTGCAGTGCAGCTGGAGGTCCCTGTGCTGCTCAGTGCTGTGACACTGGGGGCTGTGACAGGGCAGGTGGGTGCTCAGCTGTGGGACGTGCCTGACAGAGAAGGGGAGGAGCCTGAGGTGAAGCCTCTGTCTGTGTCCTCCCCAGGTTCAGCTGAAGAATTGCCAGGCAGAGAATGAAGCCCTGAGGGAGCAGTCAGCCAGCCTGGCTGCTGTGAAGCAGAACACAGACCTGGCCCTGCAGAACCTTCTCACTGTCATCACCAGCTCCCGCTCCTCCCTCAGGTGGGTTGATCTCCCAGGTGTTTGTCTGGACACTGAGCTCATCACCAAATGCCCCACTGGTGGTTTTAGGATTGAAACTCAAATGCTGGTGTTCTGTTCACCAGTTAGTCCATGTTCTCACCTACCTGCAACGTATTTTCTTCCCAGTTTAGTTCATAAAAATAACTATAACGTGGAACTCTTATCTCTTTTCCTGAATGCCAAACCATTCTATTCAAGACACTCTCAGCCTCTCACGCTCCTCCAAGACTCTCACACTGCAGTGAAGAAGTTTTCAGGTGCAGGGCTCGGCACCCCCAGGCCCTGCCGGCTCCTCCCCCTGCTCCTCAGCCTGACGCTGCTCCCTCCGCATTCCAGGCAGCTCCTCTCGGGAGCGGAATCCCTGGAGCTCGTCGCCGACCTCCTGAAATCCATAGACAGGATTTCCGAGACGCCAGCGGACGGGCAGTGAGGCTGCAGCGCGGCCGCCCGCACCGAGGGGACCAGTCCTTAAAGAGTTTGTTCTCTGATACCCCGCCTCGTTACCGTGTCGTGTGTTGGCGCTGCTGCGGAACCGGCTTTTCCACCGAGACCAGCCCGGGGCCGGGACCCCCGGTGTGTCCCCCCGGCTCGTACCGGCACAGACCACGAACCCCGGGGGG